TTGTACTGGGGATTGAACTCGGGGAACCTTATGCTTGCAAGGTAGGTGGCAGAACCACTGAGCTAAATCCCTGGCCCTCTAATGCTATATTTTAAAAAACTTGTGATACTGCAGATAAATTTACATAATTTTTCATCTCCTTTAAAATCACAAAAATGTGATCTCAAATAGGAGATTTGGTTCAAATGACAGATTTTTCTGAAAGTTACAGTGTGATTATTTTAATTTACTTTTTTCCTATGCAGATTAGTCAACTCAGTCCAGCTGAGCAAAATGTATCCACTCTCCTTGGAGTCTCTGAAAGCTACATTGCGAAGAAGGCATCAGGTCAAGCCACCAGGAAGGTACTGTCATCTTTTTTCTTCCTAAATCATGAACTAAGTTCATTCAGCAAAGTTAATACCATTAGATCATCTTCTTTATTGATTTAATCTTTTTGTTTCACATTTTTAATATAACTCCTATTTTATTATTTAAAACATAAACATCTGAGCACCAGAAATGTATGACTTTTTTTTTTTTGGTACCAGAAATTGAACTAATGTTGAATGACTTTTTCTAAAACAAAATTTATTTCAAGGTAGTGTGAGGGCCGTGTGTGTGACTTTGTCTCTGAAGTGCTCTGTTGTGCACTGGTAAAGCTGTTAGAAGAAGATAAACCTTGTTAATGGGTTGTTCTTAGGCTACTTATGGCTTACATTATAAAGGTTATAAAGTTGTATAAGCTGTTTTCACCACATCGTATAATCCTGATAATTCAGAGGAGCTACTGTTTTCAATAGACTTTATATTTGCTAGCCTTGTTATATCGAGGGCCCTAAGGTCAGACAGGTCTGGAGCTTTTGATGTCATTGTCCTCTCACTGTCTGACCCCACGGTGTACAGAGGCATTTTAGAAGGCTGAAGTGGATAAGCTAATACACTTTCATGTGACATCTTACATTTTGGTGGCTCAGAATTTAGTCAGCAGGCATGAAGCAAGTGTCAAATGCATAAACTAATTTTTTTTTTCCTTTTTAAACTTTCTTTTTGTTAGTACATATTTGTCCTACATATTGATCTCATTCATCATAGGAAATTTGTACCTGTACAAAATACTATGACAAAGCAGTACTGCATTGTATAAAAAAACTACATCTTCTTTATCCATTCTTCAGTTGATGGGCATTGGGGCTGTTTCCAAGATTTAACTATTACAAACAGCACCACTATAAACAGCGTGTGCATAGATCGCTGTGGTATGATGCTTTTAACTCTTCCAGGAAGATACCTGAAAGGGGAATAGCTGTTAAATGGGACCTCTAGTTCTAGTGTTTGGAGGAATCCCCACAGTGGTTGTGGTACAGTGTTTGTACCAGTTTACACTCCCACCAGCAATGAGGAAGGGTACTTTTCCCCCACACTCTTGCTAGCATTTGTTATTCGTTAAATTCTTGATGATGGCCACTCTTTCTGGAGTGAGATGGAATCTGTGTTATTTTAATTTGCAACTCTCAAATGACCAAATATGTTGAACATTTTTTCATAGATTTATTTGTGGTTTGTACTTCTTCATCTGAGAAGTGTCTGTTCATTTCAGACGCCCATTTTTGGATTGGGTCTGTAAATTTGGGGGTCTGATTTTTTGGAGCTAAATCCCCATCCCTAAAGCCTTCTCATTGTTCCCATTTGTACATTGGCTCTTTTACCTCAGAAATGGCTATGTTGTTCAGATTTTCAAAATGTTGAATGAAAGCATTTCCTAAAACAAACCTTTTATATCACACTCTGAAATGGAAGCTAAAAATAAAATCATATTAATTTTGATTCACAACCGTATAATAAGCAGCAAGATATTTTAGAATAATGCATATTTTAAAACTTAAATCCAGAATGTTTAGTTAATACATTTTGATTAAATTAATAATTAAATGTCTAAAGTAGTGGGGTATGAATTTATCTTAATTATAAGTGAGCTACTAGTTTAGTATTTTAGAAGTATTGTTACTGGGAATTCTAAAGAACGTTTTATTTACTTGATATCAAATTGATTTTACCATATTGAAAAAGAAACCACCTCCCAGTTTTAACAAGTTTTGCAAAAGATCTTAAAATTGATGTCTTGCCATGGAAAAATGATATCATTTTTCTTGGCTTAGGAAATACATTCTAAGCAAAACCTGTATTAGCTCAATTTATTTATTTAATAATAAAGGCACATTAAAATTTGGAAATTAAAATGCTGTCTTATCCTACTTATGGTTTTCATCTTAATGCTTTAAGATGCAGGGGTTTAAGAAGTGACCCAGTATCAGCATGCACGGCCTGTAACTTATAGGCTTCAGTGTGTCACTGTAACTTTCATCTCAAACATTCGTTTACTATAGTAGAAGATACAGTTTTGGTTCTGGTTTTGGTTTTGGTTTTTGAGACAGGATATCCTCAAACTACAGATCCTCCCAGCTCAGGCTTCCAAGTGCACCACCACACTTGGCTGGACAAACTAAATTTTATATCATATACCTACTTTTTCAAGTTCATTTTTTTCCTTTGATTTTAAGCATGAGTTAGTTTCCAAATTAGTTTGACACTGGCAGTGAAATACTTTTTTTTTTCCATTGAAATATTTGATTTTAAGCATGAGTTAGTTTCCAAATTAGTTTGACACTGGCAGTGAAATACTTTTTTTTTTTCCATTGAAATACTTCTTTGCAGTCACTAGGCACTACAGGAAAAGCAAGTACACGAAACAAATTGTTGGCTACAGGAAGCATTTTTCTCTCATTATTTTAACTTTGGAAACAAGTATTTCTCATTGACCATGTGGCAGTCATAGCATAAAATTTACTCAGTTTATACTATAACAAGCTTATCAACACACTTACCTACATGCATTTGTCTGACTTACAGGCAGTCATACACATTCCCCCTGTAGAAGCACCACGGGAAATTAGGAGCTCCCAGCTCCCTCCCTGTGTGTACTGTATTTCCTAGAGCTGTTGTAACAGATTCCTGCCAATCTGCAGCGAAATCAAGGGGAACAGACTTGGGTGTAGCTCTGCAGCAGAAGGCCTGCTTAGCATTGGTTAAGTCCCTGGGTTCAGTCCCTTGCACCAAAACACACAAAAACCAAACAAACCTCCATCTGGAGGCCAGAGATGTAAAATATAGGTCCCAGCATTAGTGGTTCCTGTCAGGGCGCTGAGGAAGGAGCCTGCCTCTCGTGCCCTGGCTGCAGGGGTTGCCACTGTCCTCGGCTCTCCTTATCTCACAGGTGCCTCTCTCCATCCGAGCCTGCATCCCACATGGCTTCCTGCATCCTCTCCTCATCCTCGAAGGACACCAGCCATTGAATTCAGGGCCCACTAGTCCTGGATGATTTATTGCACTTAGAGATCCTTGACTAAATACAGTACATCGCTGCGATCCTATTCCCAAGTCAAGTTACAGTTTAGGTACCAGGTGTTAATCATGTCCTTGCGCTTGCGAGTCAGGCGGTGGCACCACTGAGCTAAATCCCAGGCCCTTTGATTTTTTTAGGAGAGTGTAATTCAACCCACTGCACTGCCTACAGAAGGAAGTTTAATTTAAATTGGAAACAATTTGCTATGTCTTTTTTGTAGTTGGAAAAACGATAGTTTAATGTAAAGTACACATGTTAGAAATCAGATTTGTATCTATGGAATCATTCTGTTCTTGCCAACCTGCCCTACAACTTCATTCACTTTAACTTTGCCCAATTTGAACATACCATGCACTTTTACCAAGTTTAGCATACAGACATTTATTTTATGGTCTCTTTCTAGAAAGTGGACAAGGGCGTTGTCAACAGGCTCTACCTCTCTTTTGTCCTCTATGCCTTGCTCAAAGAGACCAACATTTGGAGCGTGTCTGAAAAATTTAATCTTCCTCGAGGATCGATACAAAATCTGCTCACTGGTGCTGCCTCCTTCTCATCCTGCGTGTTACATTTCTGCGAGGTAATTCCACTGGAGTGCTAACGTGGACCATGTGCTGACTAATCAGCATGCCATCACATTGAATTATGTTATTTCTGAGCATTCAGAATTCATTTAAAGTCTCTCCTTGTTTATTTCTGCTTACATCGTACTATATACATTTTTATGGTAAAATTATAGAAATTGCTAAGTCAACTGAAATGCTTAATAGAGAAGTAGGAAGTGCCAAGTCAATCCTACTTTTAGGGCCATCATTAATAGCTTCAGGTGCTTAGAAGTAACTATTGGGACCCCCCTTTTTTTTGGTACCGGAGATTGGACTCAGGACCTTGCGCCCCTGAGGCAGGCAGCGGAACCACTGAGCTAAATCCCAGGCCTAGAATTAACTACTAAAACAACTGTTTGTTTTTGCTGTGGGTTCTATGTAAATATTTTTCTTGTGAGCAGTGAGCATCTAGGACTTTGGCAGAGTGAGTGGCTGCTGTCCTGCAGCTCTGTGACTGCTCAGTCTCTGTCCCCCTGACTGCCACACTCAGGGACCGTATTTGCTTCCAGTGATAGGCAGATGTGTTAGGTTTCAACATCAAATGTTTATTTTATAAAATAATCCAAAACTTTATTTTGGCCTTGTACATTTGGGATGGATTTGTTTAAGACTTTAATTAACAATAGATCTTGAGGGCTGAGGATTTAGCTTAGTGGTGCCGGCGCCTGCCTCAAAAGCTCAAGGTCTGAAGTTTGATCTCTGGTACCAAAAAAAAAAAAAAAACCTTGATATCTGCTTAAATATGGCACAACAAAGTTAACTAGACTTTTCCAACCTAGATAATTTTTAAATTGAATTTATAATACAAGCCATTTTTCCTACATTTAAATTTCTTCTTATTGGATGGCATAGTAAGTAACTTTTTTAAAAAATTAATTTTATTAATACACTTAAGCATGCAATATAATAACATTCATCAGTGGAAATTTGTACCTTTTTTTTTGTACCAGGGATCGAATTTAGGACCTTGTACTTGAGAAATTTGTACTTTTATGTAATCCATCTTGGTTCTTATTTTTTTCCCCATTTCACAGCCCTCCCTTCAACCCCTCCACCTCTCCCTATTTGCAAAGATTTTGTTCCATTTTTTCATATTAATTCCATTTCAGTTTTTCACACTCAGTTTTTTAAAAGCTTTTTCCCATGAATTTTTTTTTTTTTTTTTAGCCCGTCTTGTTATGTAGTTCATGTTGGCCTTGAATTCACAGGGTAGCCCAGGCTGGCCTCAAACTTGTGGCAATCCTCCTGCCTCCACCTCCTGAGTACTGGGATGATAGGCATGTACCACCACGCCCAGCTCTAGTTTCTAAATTTAAATTTTACTTCCTTTTTCTTCTCTTATCTCTCCATCTTCTCTCTATGTATATGATAATTCTATCGCATGTGCTACCAAAGGGAGTAAATACCCCAAAATATTGGATTGAATGATTATTAGAGCAAATTTGCCTCTCTCATCATCTTGTACTAGTCTCATTTTTAAGTGTTAATTTACATTGACTAAGTATATGCTAGTTAAGCAAATAAAAATAATGGGTAACAATGTATTTTCTCAAGTTTTCTGTTTGTTTGTTATAGTATTTAAAGATGCTTTCCCTGAAAGTCTTTGTCTTTGTTTCACTTAGGACTGTGAGGATTTGAGCCTTCCCTAATTGCTCAAGTAAAATAATCCAAATACAGAACTTGAAAAACAACTCTAATTTGATGGCTGAGCCTAAGGGAAAACTTACGTAACAACTTAAACTCTCATTTATGCATTTTTGGTACTTTAAAGTGTTTTTTCTCTTAAAAAGTCCTATTAGTGGTACACAATAGTACTCCGGCTGTATTAGTGAAGATGATTTAACTACAGGTAATCGGAAAAGCTCCGTAGAGGTCTAACAGATGAGGGCGATGATTATCTTCTGTAGCGGGACCGTCCCAGGGTTGGTGGTAGCAGCAGTGCTGCCCTAGGTTTTCTTCCTGCTCTTCCGTCTGGACTGACCAACTGCTTCCTCAGGGGTCACAGAGAGGCTGCGAACTCTGTTCCGTGTATCACATGTTCCCGCCATGACCCAGAGCCGGAAAGGGACTTTTTTTTTTTTCCGTTGTGGATTTTAAACCCAAGGATTACTGAGTTTTTTTTTTTTTTTTTTTTTTTTTTTTTTTTTTTTTTTTGAAAAAGAGTCTCACTGAGTTGTCTAGGCTGGGATCAAACTTGTGATTCTCCTGCCTCAGCTTCTTGACTAGCTGGAAAAACTACTATAATAGAAAATTTCTGACATATATATATTTTTAAAAGGCAAAATAATATGACGAACTCTCATCTACCTACCTTACTTTAATACTTATTGACTCATGATTTGCAGTATTTATGTATTTAAATAATAGTGCATTGAACATATTGCAGTTGAGTCTTTCTATATCTAATATTTTGTCTTTGGGATAAATTCTGGGGTAGGGTTTGCTTTTACTTGAGAATAAAAACTACATTCCTGATGTTTTGATAAAAATGAATAGAGGCCAGGTGTGGTGGTGCACACCTGTAACCCCAGCACTCGGGAGGCAGAGGCAGGAGGATTGCTGTGAGTTCGAAACCAGCCTGGTCTACATAGTGAGTTCCAGGTCAGTCTCAACTACATAGTGAGACCTTGTCTCAAAAAAACCAAAAAAAAAAAAAAGAATATAGTTCTTCTTGACTTATTTTTTAACTTTCAATCTTTTTTCTCCTCCTAAAATTAATCCATCAGATTCTTCATGGTCTCTGCTGCGTTTCCTCATAATAATTTTTCTTGGGCTCATCTTTCCTCCCAGTTTAGCTAAGATCCAGCATTTACGTGGAGAAACATCCTCTCCAAGCCCCCATCGCACAAACTGAACTTTGAAATATGCTGTGAAAGCTACATTTCTTTATTTCTCTGAGTCTCATAGGAGCTCGAAGAGTTTTGGGTTTACAGAGCCCTTCTGGTGGAACTTACCAAGAAACTGACATACTGTGTAAAGGCAGAGCTGATCCCACTCATGGAAGTCACTGGTGTCTTAGAGGTCAGTAGCTTTCAGTTTCCATAGTGAAGTTATTTCTAAGGACAGAAAAATCAGCTTTTACTATTTTGTGAAGTTGGCCTCAGGGCTAGTGGTAGCAAGAGCCTTACTGCTTATTTGTCAGGGGAGACTCCTTTTTTTTAAAAATAAATTTCTGCTGTGGTCTCCCAAAAATCCACTGTTACCTGGGAAGCAGACCCAGTGAAAATGTACTTGTAAAGCAGTACATAGCGGTAGGGGCAGGAGGGACAGCCCCCAAGAATGAATGTGCTACCACTTGTGCTTAAAATGTCATCTTTCCTCCACATGGAACAGTGGAGAATTACTTTCTGAGAGTGTGGGCTTTGTGCTTGTTTAAGATAATGTTATGATAATATGGCAAGGAAGCATTTATTTTCTAAGAGTGAGAAGAAAGGGTTGTCAGCTGGTAGCTCAGCTTTCTGTCTTCAGTCAACCCCCAACTTTAGTTTATTCTTGATTTTTAGGTCCTAGCACTGCTTGGGAAACACACACACACACACACACACACCATTGATCCTTGAGTAGATGATGAGAATGTGTTGAATATATTGTCATTAACACTGACAAAATATTGGAGTGGAACATTTTGCTTGCAGATCTGAAATAGCACTACTGGCCTAAATGCCTTAATTGGTTTCCTGCTTCTGACTTTAGCACACATTAGCTGACTTAAGCTATCTTGCAATCGAATTGCAACCACTTAATGCATCTTTGAAACTTCTTCAAGATTGTGATCTCTTCATATTTCATTATCTTAGTTTTTTTTTTTAAGAGTAGGAAATATTTATTGAGGGAAACATAGCTTCTTGTCTAAGAGAGACAGAAGGGGACCCAGAAAGTGGGTTGCTCTATCTTAATTTATTCCTGTGTTTTACATGTGCATTTTTTTTCCTTATCCCAAATTGTGATCCTACTGATTTCTGTGATGCTTTCCAGGGTCGGGCAAAACAGTTATACAGCGCAGGTTACAGAAGTCTAATGCACTTGGCCAATGCTGATCCAGACGTGCTAATAAGGACAATCGATCACTTGTCACGACGCCAAGCCAGGCAAATTGTTTCATCTGCAAAGGTGAGCAAGAAAACCACTTTCTAACTGTTATAGTTTGTAGTATTGCTTATACTTTACACTTCAGAGCCAGAAACTGTACATCACACGGCACATTATTTTTATAGACATAGAAATACATATTCAGAATTTGTAGGTACAAGTACTTTATGTGTTATAATGTAGGACTTGCTAAGAAGAGGAAAAAAACCTCTTACAAAAGTAAAGACAAGGCAAGCATGGTGGCACAGATAATCCCACCTAGTTGGAAGCTGAGGCAGGAGGATCGCAATTTGAATCCCAGCCTGGACAATTTAGCAATATCCTGTGTCAAAATATAAATTGAAAAAGGGCTGAGAATGTAGCTCAGTAGCAGAGCAAGCATGAAGTCCTGGGTTCAGTCCCCAGAACCACCGAAAAATAAAAATAAGAGAGACAATTTCAGGGCTTTATCGAAGTCCAGGGAACCATGAAGTCCTTGAGCTCCGCCTCCTTCCCCTTTTCCTAGAAGTCCTTTCCTCAGCATCCTGACATCTGGTCTTTCTGTCTCTGAACACCTGCACTGCAAGAAGCTCACATCCTCTGAAGTCAGGGGCATCTGGTTTTGGATGCTTCTAGTAGTACAGAAAACACCCCAAGATACTGAGGCTAAATTTTGCCTCTGAAATCTCTACCACTGTGTCAGAGCACTGCCCTCTGGAACTAGTCTGTCCTCTTGGTCTTATGGTGGTTTTCCCCAGGCTGATTCTGAGGGGCGGCCCTGAAACACAAAAGCGGGTGTCTTTGCGAGGTGTTCATTTTCTTTGATTGCAGATATTTCTTATGTGTGAAAAGCTCCAAATTTGAAAACAGGCAGAATTATTTGACTCTCCTATCTTTTCATTTGTAAAAAGAGAGGAATCTAGTTTTGATAAGAATGGTTTGCAGCTGTGTACAGATTAGTCTATAGATTAAAATAGATACATAAATAGTATCATGTGAACTGTGAAAGATATCAGATCTGTTAATCCTTTTCATACAAACACGTAGGACACATATTCGCAGGTCTGTTCAGCTTATGCAATTCCTTTTAGCGAAGGCTCAGAAGTAGTTAAAATCAGCACTAATAAAATTCCTTTGTGAGATAGAAGCCTTATAACCTCTACAACCTTAGACCTCCTAAGGAGGGGCTTCTCCTTGCTGTTTTTCCTCTGTGTTGAATAATATAGTTTTAGATTGCTTGCAGTCCTTTGCTAGGTGCAGCCCAGACTGTCGCTGCCCTTTTGCTCTGTGTGGGTAATGCCATTCTACAATTTGGGACCTTCTTCCTCTTCTCCTTCCTCCTCCTCTTCCCCTCCTCCTCCTCCTCCTGCTCCTCTTCTTCCTCTTCCCCCTCCTCTTCCTCCTCCTCCTTCCTGCTGCTGCTTCTGTACCACGGATCGAACTCAGGACCTTGTGCTTCTGAGGCAGGTCCCCAGCCCGGGACTATCTTTTTCTTGATTTCAGCTGGAGTTGCTTAGTTTCCTTTGAACTTTATTGTTACAGTATTGTCATTTATAAAACAAAATTGAAAGTACATTTTCACCTGATTTGTTTTGGTACCGGAGATTGAACTTGGGTCCTTGCATTTGCGAGGCAGGTGCCAGAACCATTGAGCTAAATCCCCAGCCCTTACTGTAATAATTTTTAACTTAAACATTCACTGTACATTTTAACCACATCTTATAATTGATCTCCACAGCAGTCCTGTGAGGAGGGCAGTGTGGGTGATATCCCCAGTTGACACTAGACCACTGAGATGGACTTTATAATATTAGGGGGTCCAAGGTTGTAGGGGCAGCAAAGTAATAATCCATTCCATTTCTTTAACACTTAGCACAGTATTCAGGTTGAGGTATGTGTTTAATAAATATGTGATAAATGAATGAAAGAGACCTAATGAAGTGATTCATACAGGAGACGCAGGGAGAGCCGGGACTGTGGGGTCTGACTGCATATCACTGAGTGTGTCACTGGAGCTTCGGTCACAATAGAGAGAACAAGTGACCAGACAAGGGCAGCAGGGAAGCTGTGGTCCATCTGCAACCCATGCTCCTCTGCCATGGGCACCTCCAGTTCTCAGAAATAATCTGCTCTGGTTCTCAACTTCTGGTACTGGGGATCAAATTCAGGTCCTTGTGCTTGCCGGGCAGCCATGGTGCCACTGAGCTACATCCCTGGCCCTAGATTTTTTTTTGTACCAGGGATCGAACTCAGGACCTTGCGCTTGTGAGGCAGATGGTGGAGCCACTGAGCTAAGTCCCTGGCCTGACATTTGTTTATTTTGAGACAGGATCTCTGCTAAATTGCTGGAATGGGCTGATACTTGTGATCCTCCTGCCTCAGCCTCCCTGAGTACTGTAATTTTAGGTTTGTGCCACCTCTGCCAGTTCACAGTCATCTGAACAGGAAGGTGTAGTACAAAGATGAGTACTTAATACTGACAGGCTGCTCGGAAGCAACACATGACCTTAGCAAGCTTGGGGAGGACTACACTGCGAGGGGCTCACCGTGGCCCACCCACCTGTGCATATGGATTCAGACTTCAGTGGCAAGGGCATCCCATGGCCCCCAGGACCCCAGGGAAGTTCACCGGGTGCTACATACCGGCCAGCAAGAGAAGCTGCCCACGAGAGTGCCACCCGGACTGCAGGGACAGTGACTGGTGCTCAGTGCCGGTGGCACTCACAGGAAGCTGTGGGCACCACGGAAGCTCTGGAGAGAGTGCGGCCGGTCCCCGGGTTCACAGCTCTGTAGGAGCAGAGAGAGACAGCTGCGGGGGCAGATTGGAGCTGAGGAGCTATGAGATCCTTGTCTATCCAGCTCTTCTATTATAGGCCTTGTTTTTGAGTCTGAAAGATGTGGCTTTTCTTTCTTTTTCCTGAGCACTTCAACTCTGTCTGTGCTTCCTGGCTCTGGTCTGTTTCTGTCATTAGTTTTTGCCTGTCTTCTTCGGGGCGGCCCCACCCGCACCCGTGTCTCCATGTTGTTGTTTGAGCCAGTGGTAGTTCAGGGGGAGGCCTGCAAGGGAGCTGTCCCGCTGGGTTGCTTCTGGAAGACCCCTCGAATCGGCCTGGGGTATAGCTGAGTGTCCCTCTGACAGCACGGAGCAGGCACAAAGTGTTAGATCCTGATTTCGTCCTTGTCCCTCCTGTCGCTTGCAGCTTCCTGACTGCCTTCTGGAGTCCTCGCAGGCTTTGACGCCCTCCTGTGAGCAGCACTCTGCTTTTTCTTACTCGAAGCACCTCTGTATCCTCCGGGAGAGGCCGAGTTCCGTGCTCCCTGCTTGTCTTGTTCATTTGTGGGTTTTTTCCTTTTAGCTCCGCCTTGAACTCCACCAATCCCAGGAGCAGGAGCTCAAAAATGGCTCTGCTAGAAATTGGTGGGATTTCTGAAAACCAGAAGTAAGGAGCTGACGGTGTTCTGTGTCCCAGCGATGCCAGCTCATGGTAGCCATGTGCTTTACTTGGTCGGTCTGTGTGGGGAGATTGGTTTTATGGGGTTGCTGTTTCCTCAGCTACTGGAAAGCTTACTGTGCATTTTTATCAATTTTAAGTAGTGCTGCATAATATATCCTGATATCATAATATATATCAAATTGGCAGCGTTTTTGTTTCATGTGATTTCCTCCTTTATATGATTTCTTTTCTTGAGATAGGGTCTCAAGATTAGGCTTGGCTGGAACTCACTGTGTTGCTTAGGCAGACCTCGAACTTGCCACAATCCTCCTGCCTCAGCCTCCCGAGGGCTGGGATTATAGGTGTGCACTACCATGCCTAGCTCCCCTTTGTATAATTTTACTAAGCTTTTTTATTATAAACTTTTGTAACAGTAGTACTACATGATACTTCTATATATGCAAGACCCAGCTGCAACTAATGCCAGCATTTTATTTCTGATTCTTAGAAGAAAGGGGGAAATATTTATTGAACTCTTCTGTATACTATGTGTAGAAATACTTTCTTGCTCATTGTAGTGCTTTTGAAATTAGCACGGTTCACTTTAAGTGCTTGAGTAAAACTTACCTTTGAAATACTGATGAGTTAAAAGCATACTGAATGCTACAGAATAATGCAATGAATATGTATAAAGGATAACTTTTTCGGGAAAGAATTAAATTTTTGCAAAATTGTCTGAAGTTTTATAGATTAAAAATTAATTCTGAAGTGGCCGGGTCTTCAATAAAAGCCGCTTTAGTTTTGGTACATGAAATGCATCGCTCAGCTAAAACGAGCACTCCCACTTCATTTACTGCCGTCACAGTCCTAAGTGGCCGTTTCTCAGTCTGGTTCTTTCAGTTTTAATGTCTGGGTCATTGGCGTGTGGGATCCGGGTTTCTCAGACAACGTTCAACGCCGGCTGCTCCCGAGCAGCGCCCACCCACCTCCCGCCTGGGTCTTTATTGCAGATGCTGTTGCAGGAGAAGGCGGAGGCTTTGAAGGAAGAGGCGGAGGAGTTACTGAGGGCGCCTGCCGACATCCCCAGCACGAAGGCCTGAAGCAACCTGATCCTCATTTTAAGTTGGAATTACTGTATTTATTGCATATGTTTTATTAAAGATTCTCTACACTTTGTAAATGAAAAAATATATTTTAATTATATACTAAGAAGTATGGGTGATGTTTTGTTGTTGCTGTTGTTCTTTTGTGTGTAGCCCAGGCCGGCCTCAAACTCGCTGTGATCCTCCTGCCTCAGTCTCCCAAGTGCTAGGATTACAAGTGTGTGCCACCACTCCCGGTATGTGGATGGCATGTGAAGATACCTCTCACTCATAGCTGCAATAACCTCCCCACTAAAAACCATCTTCAGTACTTACACACTGTTTCTCTGCTCAGAATCTATAATGCCCACCACAAAATGAATCCCAGCTTTCTCAGTATAACTTAACCTACGTTTGTGATCATGTCTTTCATTAGTTATTTACCCATTTATTTCCGGTCAGGGGCATTGAATCCAGTCTTGCATGGGCGGCTGCTGAGCTGTACCCCCAGCCCTTTTGTGCCATCTCTCATCCCACTGGCCTGTTTGAAATCCCCAGAACTTTAGCTGTGTTTTGTTTTTGTTTTTGTGAGGCAGGGTTGAGCTGGCCTTGAACTCACTGTGTCGCCCACGCTGGCCTCTAACTCACAGTGATGCTCCTGCCTCAGCCTCCTGCATGCTGGGATGCTGGTGAGAGCAGCTCTCCTCTTCCATGGCCTGTCTGTGCATCCTGCCTTGGAGAGGACTGACCATACAAGATGAAGACTACTAAAATGTGAGCCAAAACAAAACTAAAAACCTTCCTTTATCTAACTTGTGGGTGTCCAATGTTGTGTTTTGGCCCCAAGGACAGTGAGGAAGACTGAGGGTCTCAGGAAAGTCAAGCTTTCTTAATTTACAACATGGGGTAAAAAATTACCTCTCAAATGTCTGAAAGGATGTTTCTAGAGCAGTGACAGCAAACGTTTTAGAGACACAGTGCCAAACTATAACCCCAAGCCCACTTAATTATCATGAAGGGCCAGCCCTTTTATTAAACCTGAGTGTCCAGCTGCTGGGGCGATGCTGGGGTGACTTGGCTCAGGTGCCAACAGAGAGGGCTCTGCTCTCTGCAGCACACTTGCCATAGTTTCTCCACCATGGGTCCAGATAATGCCATGCAGATGGTGCCAGCACACAGCAAGCCCCATAAGTGGAGGTTTACTGTCAACCTCATTGATCAGTGCAAGTGACAAAGACAGGATCTACTTGTCCATATGCATTCTTGTAAATGGCCAAAGAAGATCAAGAACGATCATGAATCCATGGTATTACTTCTTGTGAGAATGGGGTGGAGCTCAGAGGCTGTTGTGATACTTGTGTGGGAAAGTTGTGAAAAATAACCAGGTATGGTGGTGCATCCCTATAATCCCCGCATTTGGGAGGCTGAGGCAGGAGCATTGTCAGGAGTTTAAGACCAGCCTGGACTACACAGTGAGACCCTAATTTAAAGAAAAAATTAAAAGAAAAACAGAAGCATGGCCCAGAGGAGGGCCGTCCACCAGTTTTTCCTGAGAAACACCAGCGTGGAGTTTCGTGGAGAGGATGGCTTGAAAAGGTTTGCACTTCCCTCAAACTGGGGTATATGCCAACAGAAAAACCTTGTTTTGTACTGGTTGTTTAAGTTTGTAGTGCAAAACAAAAGCAGCTTGGATGTTAGAGCGAGCTTGGTGGTGCTGGGCATCTTAGAAATGGGCAAGCTTGGCTGACAGCCTGAAAAAAATGTGAAACAGAAAGGCCACTATTACATTACAATCTAGTGCTGTACCGCCAGAGAGGAAGGAAGTGCGAGAGCAGTCCTCACGCTTGTGTGCACAGGAAGACATCAAAAACTCCACGTCTTGCGGGGCATGGTGGTGCACGCCTGTGATCCCAGCACTCGGGAGGCTGAGGCAGGAGGATCGCTGTGAGTTTGAGACCCGCCTGGGCTACATAGTGAGCTCCAGGTCAGCCTCAATTACATACTGAGACCCTGTCTCAAAACAAACAAACAAAAAACCCCCCAAAACTCCACGTCTTGGGCTGTGCATGTGCCTCAGTGGTAGAGCCACAAATGTAGCTTTTGTTTTCCTCCTCCTCAAAATCACCTTGGGGAGACATGTTGCTGCCTTGTCTTCTCGTATTTCTATTCTTTTTTCTTGTGTTTTCACAAAAGTCTTTATAAATGAAGAAAGGTGACAGGAGTCACAGAGTGACAGGATGTGAGAAGGACTCCCTGGCCATCGATGGCTTTGAAGATAGGAGAGGGCCTTGAGCCAAGGAATGAAGGCTACTGGAAGAGGCAGGACACAGATTCTCCCCAGAGCCTCCGAAAGGAACACATTCCTGTAAGCACCTGCTATTAGCCAAGCAAGGCCCTTTCTGTGCCCACAATTTTAAGGTATAAATTTGTGTTGTTTTAAGCCATTGCATTTGTAGTGATTTGTTATAGCAGCAAGAGGAAATGAGTGCGTCTGAAGAAAGCTTACTGGCCTCGTGGGCTCTGTGAAACACACATGGCGAATCCCCGTTCCAGAGGACACTTTCTTTGAAAGTTCAGTTAAAAACAAAAAAGCTCAATGAAAATGTATTTTACTGAATAGTTTCAATATTCTTCACCTAATGCTAGACACTAGATTAGCGCAAAGCCGAGGAAGGGGAATATTTGGTCCTTTTGTCTTTTGGGAACAGCAAAGCACAAATATATGAACTGCAAGCATTGATGGTAACAAGAGGAGACAGGAAATGAAAGATAAATTTTTCTAGATTTTGCTCTTTAAATTAATTGCAGTTCTTGGTTGTTGGTTTGTTTGTTTGTTTTTCCCCAGTATGCTCACAGAGGAGCAGGATGGAAGCTTTGCAAAAGTTATCCTCGTAGCCGGGCGTGGTGGTGCATGCCTGTAATCCCAGCACTTGGGAGGCTGAGGCAGGAGGATCGCTGTGAGTTCAAGACCAGCCTGGGCTACATAGTGAGTCTAGGTCAGTCTCAACTCCATAGTGAGACCCTGTCTCAAAAAACAAAGCAAAAAAACAAACAAAAAAGTTATCCTCACTCTTAATGCAGCTCTTAGGTTCATCTTGCAAGACTCCTGCGGAACCACAGAGAGATATGAGAGGTAGAGTCTTGGAGAAAGAACTGTGCAGACAGGCCATGGTCTAGGTGAAGGATAGGAGCATCGGGAGCGTCAGATCAAGGGAGAGAAGGGCGTTTGCAGGAGAGAGAGCATAGGTACTCTCCAGTTGATGTGTTGATGTATCCAAGAGGAGACGAGGAGCCATGCCTTCTGTTTATTTGTGTTTTTTTGTTTTTGTTTTTGTTTTCGGTACTGGGGATCAAACTCTGGACCTTGCACTTGTGAGGCAGGTGGTGGAACCACTGAGCTAAATCCCCCAGCTATTTGAGTTCTTAAAGCAGTAACAAGATACCTTGTTCGCTCCGGGATCTGTCTAAACCAGAACAACTAAAAAACGTATGTAACGTTTGTCAGAAGTAAAGCCGGACGCTAGTTAAAGGGCTAAGGGTAGAGTTTATCCTGTGGTGACCCCGTTACAAAGGGGAAGAGGTCGCATGTGAATGGAGCAGAACTTTGTGCAGTGCGACGGGATGTAACAAAGGCAGAATGACAGAGGAGGACGGGAGGACAAGCAGAGACCGGAGCACAGATGGTGGGGCTGCTAACTGCTGCTCATCTGGAGGAGGAGCAAAGCTCTCGTCTTAGGAGGAAGTGACAGGGCAGGTTAGAACAAGGCACCCACCTCTGGGGCAGGGCTGCTCCCCTGAATGTCTGCATTTCCCACAGGCTCCCGTGTCCTTGACAAGAAGACGGTTTCAGGCGGTAGAAACCAACATCTCACAGCGGGAGAGGAGAAGCTGTAACTGCCCCCCCCCAGTGGGCTGCTCTGGCTGGCGGTGCTCGGGGCCTCTCCATCTGTTGCCAGACTTGGCAGAGTTCTGCACCCTCTCCAGCAGATACTTTAAGGAGCTGTTAGAATCCGTGTGAGTGTTTGTTCACGTGTTTTAGAGGAGGGAGGAGCGGAGCAGGAAAAATCATTTGTGCCCAGAGTGTATTGTTCTTAAGCTCCAGGTTGAGGCCTAGTTCGAAACACTCTGTAAAATTTGGTCAAGAAGACTCTGTCACCTAATATTTGTTCAAAATGCTCTATTTAGCTACTCTTTTAAAAAAATATAATCACTAAGAGCAACTGATTTCCTTCCATCTGTGTTACACACCTAGATTTTGCTCTTTAACTTAATTGCAGTTCTTGTTTTGGGGTCCCCCCAGTAGGCTCCCAGAGGGCAGGATGGAAGCTTTGCAAAAGTTATCCTCGTTCTTAATGCAGCTCTTAGGCTCATCTCGCAAGACTCCTGCAGCAGGTGAGGCTTTAGAAACTCATGACCTTGAGAAGCTGCGTTGCTCACAGCGTGGGCCTAGGCAGGTTCAGTTCCAGATGAGTTCAGGAAGGCACCAGGCCGCCCTGCTCCCTCAGACGAACCAGCGAAGTCCAAATCCCCCGTACCCCTTCTTTTATTTCTGTTCGTGTGTCGTTGGAGCTGAGCTCACCAGGTTCTGGATGCCTTCACTGCCCTCCTCTGACACATCCGCGGATGCTCCTCCCCCTTTGTCGATTTCAGCAAACTCCTCATCCGCACTTCCTGAGACTTCGCTGTCATCCAAGTTAGCAAATTCACCATCGCTACCCCCTGAATCTTCATCTTCACGGTTATCCTTGGCTCTTTCTCTTTTCTTCTTCGCATTACTTACAAAGTCAGAGTCAGCCTTCCCCCCGTGTGGCAGTTACCACCCTCGAATGTGTCCGTCACCTTCTCACACTCCTCACCGTCCACACCTTCTGTGCTTTCTTCATCTGCACTCCGTTTTTGGTCCTCTTTCATAGCAGCGACTTTTTTTGTAATACCCATGAAAAACGCTTCCTCCACTGGTATTCGGCTTTCTTCTTTTGCCAAGAACTTCTTGCTATTCACGGCAAGACCGCGAAAATCCTTTATGAGAAGTTTCCTTTCTGGCTGTGTCACAACGCTGTCGGTATTTCCTGAAATGTAAAATCATGAAAGTCTAAAATT